TTTGGATCCCAGGGTGGGTTGCTTGGATCCAGGGGTTGTTTGGATCCCAGGGTGGGTTGCTTGGATCCAGGGGTTGTTTGGATCCCAGGGTTGGTTGGTTGGCTGGATCCAGAGGGTGGTTGTTTTTCAATTCCTCGCTCCACCACTATTTTTTTTTTTTCCCAATCCTCCTGCACTGCTCTCCCTGAGCTGGGTGGATTCCTGCCCACATCAATGAGGGAGGTGGAGGGGAAAGCATGCAAATCCCTGCTGGGATCCTTTATTTTGTATGCACATGTACACACACACCTGTGTTACCTCCACAGCCAACCTCCACTAACCCCCATGTGCTGTGCCGGGGGGCTGGAATCCAGAGCCCTTCCATGGTGGTTTTAAGGAGCAGCTCCTGAGAAACACAGGGATTGCTCTGTGGGCGTTGGGGGGAGCAGAATCCAGTCATTAGCATTTCTCTCTCCTCATCCTGTTCCCAACAAACACGATCCCCGTGCCTGACACAGCGGCGTGTTCGTGATTTCGGTCGGGCTGTTTATTTTTAGGGTCTCAGCGCCTGTTTGGAGGGAATAGTTGTTCCATCCCCATGGCAACGGGGCTGAGTGTATCATAAACACTGTTAAAGGAGAGCTTTTCCAGCTTAAATGAGACTTCCCTCTCATAATCAGGCTGGGATGGACGTGGACCATTTAACCTGTTGTTTGGGGTTGTTCCCCAGTGCAGACCTTGCTCTGAACTGAGGATGCTTCTGCTTCTCTCCTGCCCTCTGAAGCCAATTTAATCTGCTGTTGGTAAACATCCCCCTCAGCCCATCTTCAGGAGGAAGCAAGTGTAATCTGCTTAGGAGCTTCCAGGGAAATCAGTGTTTTTATGGCTTAGTCAGGAACAATCCCATCAGTGCCACAAACCAGGCAGGGACTGATCAAAGGTGCTTTGGGTTTGAAGTTTCCCCATTCTCTCTCTTTGTCCTAAACCTTCCCATGCTCTCTGTGCTCTCATATCCTGAAAAAGGAGAGCTAGGAAAGGGAGACTGTTCATCAGAGTGTGGAAAAGCAGGGAAATGAGGTTTATCCATAAAATTATCAATGCTGGCATGTCAGTCGTCCCCAGCCGGGGGTGGAGGGTCAGTGGTTGGAGCAGCTGGAGAAAGTACTTTGAAATCCCCTTTTTCACTGTTTTCCATCAGTGTCAGTCATGATGATCAAAATCCTGTTTGGTAACAAAGGGGCATCATTGTCTCTGTATGGAGATTAAAAAAAAAATCCCCAAAGAGCTGTTTGGCTCATCCACTGCCAACCTGAGCCTGCAGCCATAAATCCAGTGGGAATCCCGATGCCACTGCTGTCCTTCATGGCTTGTTTTCTGATCCTGGTTTGCTAATTCAGCAAGCAAGTGAGAAATATGCAGGAAGCAAGCAGAAAAATAACTGAGGAAAAACTAGAAAATACTAAGAAAAACAAATACTTATTTCTCAGGAGTTAAAAAGCTGAAACAGTTTGTTCCCGAGTCCCGAAATAGTTGTTAACACCTAAATTTCATCTGAAGCAACTTACATTTTTGAAGCCAGGAACCCAAAATTTATTGCAACATTTGTTTTGAGGTTTTTTTTCTAAAAAAAAAAAAAAAGAGGCTTGGAGTGGGATTAGGCAGTGAAAACTCTGGAGCAGCTCTTATCATAAGGACATCCTCCAGCATTTCCTTCCAGGGAACTTCCTGCCTCGATAACCACGACTTCTCCTTCAGAACAGGCTGATTTTCCTGACTCCTTTGGAAACAACAGGGGAAAACAAGGATTTATCGGGTCTAGGGTGTTTTTTTTGTCCCTTATTCTTACCTGATTTTACTTAGTTATTAGAGAAGGTACAATTTGATTGCTACTTGGAAAGCTGCCAGGGTTTGGAATTTTTTGGAGGGTGGTGTTGCAGGTGTGGAATTCTGCATCTCTGCTTTAATTCCTTGTGAATAATAACTTTGTTTTACACGTATAACAGTTTTTAACCTGGTATTTCACCTGTCTGTGTGTTTTGGAAAAGGACTCAATACTCTTCCGTGCTTCCCACCACATCAGGGTATGTAAAAGCTGGTTTTTGGACAACAGGGTTGTTTTTTTTTTTCCTCTTTCTAAAATTAATTAAAATTGATAAAATCCTAAAAGTACCAGTTCAGGTGAGCCACAGTCTCAGGAGCTTGAAAAGGTTTTGTGAAAGGTTTATTAGTAAAGGGATATTTCCAGTGCTGTGCTAACGAAATGGTTGCCTGGTTGTATTTTGATAAGCACATAATTAGATACTTTATCAGCCGTGTCCCACCTCCCTGCCCCTCTACTGAAATAAAAGGGGTAGGGCAGCCACTTATTTATGAATTTTATTTAGTTGCCTGGACAAAGACATTTGAAAAAAACCTGATCAGACTTTTGAGGTTTGGAACCCGGCCTTGGGCCTGTGACCTCCAAAAGTCTCCTTCAGCCAACCCCGTTGTTTGTTTTCCTGGAACAGCTCTCAGGGCCTTGTGTCCACAGGAATATTGCACAACGGGGCAGGAGTTATTGTCTCCAAATTCCTTCTGTTCACACACCATGGCCATCTCAGGCTGCCTGAGAAACCCCGGGAATGGCTCTGCGGGGTGAAGCGTGTCCGGTTCTGTGTTGGACTCACAGTACGAGCCCGGATTTCCTGGAATTTCCTGGAGCTGGAGCCTTGATTTGCCCGCCTGAACGTCTCACCTGTGCCACTGTGAGGTCCCCCAGACCTGTTGCTGCCTTAGTTTCGTTGTTTTTGAGCTGAGCAGAGGTTCCTGTGTCTCCCTGTGTGTGACAGCTGTGACCCAGCCGGTTCAATCGCGGTGGTGGTTTTGTCCTCGCCGTGTGACCGTGTGACATCCTCCCTTTCCTTTTGCTCCATCTCTGTTCCTGTGTGGGTTTTACTCGGCCCATCTGCAGAACTCATCAGGCTGCAGATGCTGCTGAGAGAGGCTGTTGGAACGAGTGGAGGTGAAAGATTACTGGGGATTACTCGGTGTCCAGTCAAAGCACAGGAAATCTGCCACAAGACCTTGGACACGGTTAGGCCAGGCCCAATTCCCCCCTCCAGTCCTGCCTCTGCTCCCTCCTCAGGGCCTGGCAAGGGGTGCCTGTCCTTTTTGAGCACAGAGGGAGTTTGTTTGGCTGCAGTCAGCGTAGCTGCTGGGTGAGATTAGGGTGAGATTGCCACGTGCCCGCTGTGCCACCCCTGACTGCTCACCCTCCTTCCCAGGAGGTGCAGAGCCCGGGGCTCTGTAATCACACACACGGGGCTGGTTGTGGCTGTGGCACAGATGCAGGAGGAGAAGTCACCGGAAAAAAGATCCATATCTCGTGTCCTGGCCCTGCTGTCAACTCTGAGGCTTTGTAAAGTCAAGCCCCTCGAAGCTGCAGCAGCAGCAGCAGGAGAAAGGCTCAGGTTTGCAGCCAAACTCTGTCAGCTCCTCAGTGAACTTCAAGGGTCATCCGTAGGCGTCAGAGAAGATCTCAAGACAATAATAGTGCTCTATTTTAGCACGCTCATTACAAAGTATAACTGCCCTCTGCCTCTGGCAACTATTTTTGCCTCTGCTCAGATGGTGCAGGAGTGGCAAGGCCGTTGTCACAAGCAGCAGTGCTGCCTCTCTGCCTCCTTCCCTCGTCGGCTTTTCGGTTTAGACCTTTTTCCTTTCTCCATGAAAATAACCTTCAGCAGAAAGATGGCTCGCAGGGGTGTGTTTTGTAATTATTGGTGCATTCATCCGGAAGAAAAAGCAATCAGATTTGTGCTGACAGGGAGCTGTGAGAGGAGGTTGGGGCCTTTTCATGGCATTTGAAAGAAGCTGAAATGCTGTTTGCATCGTTGATGCAGGGTAGGAGTGGGACTGTGGGTTCCTGTCCTCATCCTGATTTCTTTCTAACTAGTGGGTCTTTAAAATCTCTGCAGAGTGTGGGGTTTTTTTGAATAAAAAGGACAAGAGGATCTTCTGAATTGTGTCAGTGCAGGAGGGGTTTGAGTACGTGGCCATGGCGTGGATCCTCCTCTCTCAGGGCACCTGAAGATGTTCTGGGCAGCACAAGGAGCTTGAGCCACTTCTCATCCCTGTGGTTGCAAGGTAAAGGCTCAGGAAAAGCAACAGCTGCCTCCTCCTGCCCCAGGTGCTGGAGGAGGAGGAACCTTTTCAACGTGTTCGTTGGTTCTCAAACAAAGAGAAGTGCTCAGCTCGCCTCTGCTGGTTTTCATTTTACATCTTGTGTGATTTTTTTTCTTTTTCTTTTTTTTTTTTTATACTCTGCTTTTTCCTGAAGAAACAGGAGTTCTTTGATGTGTTCTTGTGCTGTATCAAAGCAGCTTTTGTGCTGGAGTTAAGTGAGACGTCTTGGTTCACAATACAACACATTATACTTTCCCAGTTCACAGCTGCTCCTGGAGTCTGAAGATCCACCTGTGATCCCATTGCTTTGACCACTGTGGAGGGTTGTTTTCTGGCCTTCCCTTTGTGTGTAAAATCTTCAGAAAAACTCTGTGTTCCCTGCTCCATTGAGGTATCCATGAGGTTCTGCTGAGGGATCTCCATCATTTCCTCTAGATATAAACAGTAAATATTGAGTAAAGAGGAATATGTGCAATATAGCCCATCCATGAACAATTCCTAAGTGCTTACTGCTCCTCTTCTATAACACCAGGGTCTCAGTAGGACTTTTCCACCCCGTTAACGTGTCTAACACAAGACTTTTTAAAGCTGAGGGTACTCAAGGTGTCCTCCAAACGATGGCCAAAATCGTGACACCCCTAAAGCTGTCAATGCCAGAAACATCAGCAGGGGCTTGATCAATGTAACACTCCAGTACAGTCTGTAACTCTGCCCCTGGGAGAGGGATCCTTCCAGCTGGAAAACCAAGGGATTTGGGCAGCATGAACTCATAATTTGGTAAATGCTCCTCAGAACGACACAGCTCAGTGCAGGGAAAGGTGTATTTTTTTTTTTAATATCTTGCACTTCCCAGAATTTTGGCCACTCCATGTGTGCTCTGTGACTGAACTTTGTGTTGTCAAGAGTGCTGCTCTGTCAGCTTTGTGTGTCTCCAGCTGGATTCCAAACCAGCTGTGATTGCAAAGGTTTGGATGCTTGGCTGTGACAGAGGCTGATGAGCTTTGAGCTACAGCGAGGTGGTACTTCCTAAAGGGAAGCAGCCTAATGAAATAATAGCAGTTAAATTCTGGGATGCAACCTGCATGGATTTTTTTAGGAGGAGGGGTAAAAAAAAAAAGCCTTTGCCACTCTGAAATTGCGTTGCTAATCTGATTTCCACGTGGCTGCCTCCCCTTGCATCAGTTTGGTGCAGTGCTGATCCGGGTTCCCAAAGTGCTGGAGATAAATGCAGCGTGGGAATAATCACTCAACTTCATCTTCCTGCTCTCTCTTAGCACGTATCCCTGGCATTGACAGCTCTGCAGATCCTCCTGTCTGCACGACACATGCGTGTGCATCATCCCCGGGGATGAGGAGCCGTAGCCTCAGCCTTGGAGACACGGAATGTTGCTGGCAAACGTGGATTCCAGGCGGTTCTGAGGCAGAGCTGATCCCCTATGGATCAGCTGGCACGCCATGGGAAGAGTCTGGAAGCACAGCCTTGAGTTTCTTCGAGTGCCGAGCAATTAATTTGGGCAAGCAGGGAGTTGTACGTGCGCGGTAATTAACGGGGAAAGCACCCTAGGCCAGCATAACAGCGTGGTGTGGGTGTCCTTCAGGTTGGGATTGTTCCATGTAATTGCTGCAGTTTAACTGGCTGGATCGATGGCACGGCCCTGGGGAGTCACCCAGCCCGCCATGGGGCAGGGATTCTGCAAAACAGGTTCAATGTCGTGGGCTGGGCCCAAAAAGGCACCTGCCCCGGGGCACCTGATTTCGGTAAGGAAGGGGAGCCCTGTGTAAACTGCCAGTAATCCTTTCTCAGGGCTCACTGAACGCTCAGGCTCACGTGGAGGCTGTTCCCTTCCTTATATAGGGCTGGATAAGTGCTGGGCAGTAATGAGATTGGAATAAAAGGCTTTGGGAGCGAAGATGAGCTGGCAGTCCTGGCTGGATCTTAAACTGAGCCCTGTGTACACATGGACTTCAAACAAGTCCTTGGACTTGATGCCTCTGCTTTGGTTGTGAACAGCACTTGGGCTCTCAGGCTGTGGATTCACCCAGACAGAAACCCCTGGACTCTTAGGTTTCTTCTCTGAGGGGAAAAAAATGTAGCAATTTTACATATAAAACCATTTTTTGTGTCTTTCTTGGTGGTTCTTATTCCAGAGCACCTGGGTTTGTTTTTATTTCATAGGAAGAAGTTTAAACTGCATTAATTGTCACAGTTCTGGACTAAGAGAATCCATACGAGATGCTGAATTAATATTTCATCTGGTGTGTCTTATGCTTCCCTTGTGCAGACAGAATTATTAGTGTCCTGCTTAAAAATGTTTGTGGAAATACTGTTTTGTGTAGTCAGATATGGTCAAGGAAAAATGACATCTCTCTGCCTTGTCTGTCCTTGATGAATTTAGACGTGGAGAGGAAAACCACTCTGGGAGTTCAGGAATCAGCTGGCAGATATTAGTCCTAGAAAGTCTCAGCCTAAATCATTGGTGTAGGTAAGACATGGCAGGAATTGAGACAAGCAAAGGCAGCGCTTGAAATAATTTTTATTTACTTTCGTGTTTACGCTCTTAGGAAAAAAAAAAGGGGGATGATACTTGGAAAGGAAAGATTTGAAAGAGAGGGGAGTAGGGCTGATGACAAAGAGGCAGAAGTGTGAACTGAAGGAAAATGGAGTTGTTTTGCTCTGGCATCTTCCTGGAGCTTTGCAGTTACTTGATCTGCTGTTTTTGAGGTTGGAGGTGGGAGCAGGTACGGAAAGGAGGCGGCGAGTGGGAGGTTTGATTTTTTTTTTTAATTTTTTTTTTTTTTTACCTGAGTGTACCTGAGCTGTTTCTCATAAAGCAGTACAAGCCAGAGTGGGTGAACATGGAACAACTTAGAAACATTTTTTTGGGGTAGTGACTCACTGCAACTTACCCAAAGTGACCTGATTTAGTTAAATGAGGCTAAATATAACCCATGTGAAAAGTACTGACATGTGGGAGGAGACGACAGAGTTGGCACTCAGCCTCTCTGTTCTGCAGGGAACATCTTTCACGACTGGTGACTAATAATTTTTACTCTTGCTGGCTTTGGAAATAACATCTCAGCTCCATCACCCCCTTGTAGGGAGAGGAGGGAAATGCTCTGTTAACCTGCCTCTGCTCTGCCTCTCTGCCTCGCAGCTCACTGCTATGGACAGTGCTATCACCCTGTGGCAGTTCCTCCTCCAGCTCCTCCAGGAGCCTCAGAACAAGAACATCATCTGTTGGACCTCCAACGACGGGGAGTTCAAGCTGCTGCAGGCAGAGGAGGTGGCCAGGCTGTGGGGGATCCGCAAGAACAAGCCCAGCATGAACTATGATAAACTCAGCCGAGCGCTCAGATACTACTACGTGAAGGTAACAAATCCCCCTCCAATCCTTATCCATCTTTACCAGCCTAATGGGCTTTGTTTCCTTTTTCATCCCCTGCGAGGGGATGGGTGGGTGTCACTCCTCTTCCTCCCAGGCTTAAGGAAGTTGTACTGGTTTGTTTAAAAGTGGGGTTTTTTTGTGCTGTGTTTCCTCCCCGTTGCTTGTTTGACAAGGTTCTAAGTGCAAAGTTTTCTCTTTGTGTCTTTGCAAACGTAAATTGTTGAATCCTAATCCCCCTTCCAAAAATGCATACCCTGGCAAGGGTTAAAATCCTCAGCACTCCAGGTAAAACAACACTGGGAGATGATGACTGAGGTGGTGAGTGTTGCACCACCTTAAGATCTTTCCTGCAGTTGCCTCTACAAAAGGGCTTCAAAATAAGGATTTTCAGTGAATCAGCCCAAAGTATTTTTATTGTTCTCTGTGTGTTCAGAACTTCACCTCTGACATGGCCAGTGATTTCAGCCCAGCTGAGTAAGAAGCTTCTCTTGTTTAGCAAAATGTCTTCAAGACCTACCTTGGTTTCAATAAGCCGTTTATCCCACAACTGTTACCGGGCGAGTGTGGGAGATAAAAATAAAACAGTTTCTGAGGAACCTCAGTGGGTAGCAGGTGGTAAGTTACTGGTGTTTATTGTTGGGTGGCACAAATCTGGCTTTGTGCTGAAGAGATCTCAGTAATAATAATTGCATGATAAATGAAGATGATCTTAAGCCCGAATTGCGTGTGGCATTTCACTTAAGGAGCAAAACAAGTTTGACAGATGCTGTTTTGTGGTATTGAAATAGCTGATTATCCTGCATTCCACTGACTAGTTCAGCTACTTATTTTCCTTTATTAGCATCTCATTAAGGATAAAAGGGGTTTGATTGGAAGTACCAGCTCTCAGTTCTGCAAAACTATAGAAACCCTTTAATACTGCAGGTTCTCCTGTTAGATTACCCTGACTGTACCCAGGGCAGTGATCCTTGAGGGGGTTAATGGGTAATTTTTTATTCTATTTAAAAGCAGGTTTTAGGCTGGTTTTGGTGTATTTGGTGTCAGGTTAAGCTCACCTGTTCTAGTGTTTTGTCTGTGAGCTCTGGGAATGCTGCTTTGGGAGCGGGACTGAACTGCAGGAACGCAGTGTGTTTTTAAGGCAGGAAAAAAGAAACATTTTTTTGATGAAAGATTACAGGCTTTAATTCCTCTGCCTATTTTGGGCAGTGTTTGTAGGAAGAAAATTAATCTGAGGAAGGTCTAAATATATATGTGTATCTTACCCACAGAATATCATTAAGAAAGTGAACGGTAAGAAGTTTGTGTACAAGTTTGTCTCGTATCCGGAGATTTTAAATATGGACCCGCTTGTCGTGGGCCGGATAGAAGGAGACCCTGAACTGACTGGCTTTGGAGAGGTCAACAGCGCTCCAAAGGACGTGGAAAACTGTGGGAAGGAGAAGTCCCAGTCGTGTGCGAAGTCCTCGAGCCGCAACGACTACATCCACTCAGGCCTGTACTCCTCCTTCACCCTCAACTCCCTCAACAGCTCCAGCGTCAAACTCTTCAGGTCCATCAAGATCGAGAACCCGGCGGAGAAGCTGACGGAGAAGAAGCCTCAGGAGCCGACCCCCTCCGTCATCAAGTTTGTCACCATGCCCTCCAAGAAGCCGCCCTCGGCCCCCCTGGTCTCCACCACCTCCGCGGTCTCCGCGGCTTCCGCCGCTCCCGCCGCGTCCTCCTCCCTTCCCATGGGATCCGAGGAGACCCTCCAGACCTTGGAGACGCTCGTCCTGCCCAAGTTAACTGTCCCCGAAGCTCCAGCACCTTTGCCAAACTTAACCAGCAGCTTCACCCCGACGCCCCCCATCTCCTCGGTGTCTCCCACTCTCCAGGTCCCTTCCACGCCCCCGTCGCCGCCCCTGAGCTCCAACCCCGACCTGGACATTGACACGGATATCGAGTCCGTGGCCTCCCAGCAGCTGGAGCAGGCCCAGAGCCTTCAGCACCAATCCCCAGAGCCCAAAGAGCAGGATTCATCCGTGCTGGAGAAGGAATTTGCCAATCACCTCTCCAGATCTAAGAAACCCAAAGGGCTGGAGTTGGCTCCTACTCTCGTCATTACGGGCAGCGATCCAAGTCCTCTGGGCATTCTGAGTCCTTCTCTCCCGACTGCTTCTCTTACTCCAGCACTTTTCTCTCAGGTAACCAAACCCCCTTCCTGGTTTCTTTTTTTAAAGTAACAATGGTGATTATGTTACATTTTAAACCAGTAAGGGAAGGCAAGTGGAAAATGAATAGTCGGTTCATTGTGTGGGGTGTTCTGAAACTCAGGATGTCCCTCCCCCTTTTTTTTTTTTTTTCTTTAATTAAAACCCAAGTTTTATTCACAGTTGGTATTAACTTCACCCCAAAAAGGTGCCCAGGTGGTGTGTCAGCCCTGCACGTCTGGGCAGGGTTGGCATGTGGAGGCAAAACCCAAACCAGCACCAGCAGGATCCTTTGCAAACCTTGCCAGGGAGGGACTGAATTATTTCAGAAACCCTAAACCCTGCCCTCATCCTTCAGCTGGTTCTGAAAATACTTTAAAAATAGAGAAGCACAGAGGTGTCTGTTTGGCAGCTTTTTTTACTCAAATATAGGCATTTAGTTAAGGCCAGAGTCTTGTGAGTGAACATGAACAGCAATAAGAGCAGCTGCTTAATTTGGTTGCTATCTTTGTGTGGGAAAGGAAAGCTTTTGTGTCTCGTGGAAAACTTGGAAGAGAACTGAATCCAGCTAGGCTGTTAAATCATTCTGTATCTATTTAATCTCTTTCCTGTGATAGATTGGAATTAGAGTGAAGCTGTAGGGAAGCTGCTGATTGAAAAGTGAAATGGCTGAAGGCAGGGGGAAAAAAACCAAGTGGAGTTGCTCTTTTGGCACCCTGGGAAGTGTTTGGCTGGTGAACCTGGAGCATCCAGGGTATTCAGAAGCTGGGTGGAAACTTGTTTTATTGTTCCTTATATTGTCATTGTCACCCAGACCAGGCTCGTGCCTGCTGTCTGCTCCTTTGGAGTTCCTAATCCCGGTTTTCCCCAGTCCTTGCAGGTGCTGTGTGCTGGATTGCTCTGCTGGAGGTTCCAGCAGGATTTGGCAGCTGTTGGGAAAAGAGGGTTGACTGCTCAGCCAGGGGAGGGAGAGCCGGATGGGGCTGGGAAGGGAGGAGGAGCAGGGACTGGGAGTTCCTGAAATTGGGAGCCAGCCCTGGCAGCTGCAGGAGCTGAGGGGGTTGTGGCTGGGCTTCCATGTGCTCTTGCTCCAGGGGCAGGTCTCACTCAGCTCTCCTGTCTCTTCCAGACTCCCATCCTGCTGACTCCCAGCCCTTTGCTCTCCAGCATCCACTTCTGGAGTACCCTGAGCCCGGTGGCTCCTCTCAGTCCTGCCAGGTTGCAAGGTGCTAACACCCTCTTTCAGGTGAGTTCCAGCAAGTTCTGCCATTCTCTCCCTGCTTTTCAGTCCCTTCCTCAGCAGACCTGCAGGAATCAGTTACCCAAATACCTGCTGTAGAAATAAAATACCTGCTGTAGAAATAAAATACCTGCTGTAGATGCTGCCCCATCCCTGGAAGCGCCCAAGGCCAGGTTGGACAGGGCTTGGAGCAACCTGGGATGGTGGAAGGTGTCCCTGCCCATGGCAGGGGGTGGGACTGGATGGGCTTTAAGGTCCCTTCCATCCCAAACCATTCCATGATTCTGTGATCTCTCCATTCTGCTGTTTTTTGTTATTTGGAAATTCTCACCTTCGCCGCTTTTAATAAATAATTTTGTTCAATATGTAAGAAAAAAAATCCCCTATATTTAAAAAAACCCCCTCCTTTAGTTGCAATTCCTCGTACTCTTCCCTCACCTTCCACTTGGGCATTGGAATAACCACATCTGCTGCCTGGGTTTGCTCAGGCAAAGGGTGGGATTGAAGTGGTTGCTTTTTGGGTTGGGATCTCTCATCTCCATGGAGATGAAGGAAGTGGCTCATACATGCCACGAGGATGGGGAATAAACAATGCACTGGCCATTTTCCTCTAGAAATAGCTGATAATTAACTGAGGGACTATTTAGACCTGTGGTTTCCCAACAACCTGTATTAAAGTCACTTATTAATTGAGGACATGGGCAGTGCTCAGGGCAGGGATTGCTGTGCCAGTGGCATTAAAAAAATTAAATTAAAAGTAGAAATCCAATAGAATTCTTTGAAGTTTGGGGTGTTTTTTCTTTGTTGTGTTTTGTTGTTTGGGGTTTTTTTTCTACATGCACAGATAGGGGAGAAACAATGAATTAAAGTGACCTCTTGCCTAATCATTTTTGTTTTGTCTCTTAGTTTCCATCAGTGCTGAACAGTCATGGCCCATTTACTCTGTCTGGACTGGATGGACCCTCTACCCCTGGCCCGTTTTCCCCTGATCTCCAGAAGACATAGCACATGGAACTCATGGAAAGGACACGTTGGCAAGCAAGGGAAAGATGGGACACTTCTATTTAACCACGTTTTTTTAAAAATGAGCAATTTGTAATTCCACACAGAGATTCTCAACGATCGTAGTTTTCGCCATTCCCAAGTAAAAATGCCTTTTTTTTTTTGCAAAATTCCCCTTTTTTCTGAAGAACCCAGGTTGGGAATGTATATGCAAAGGCCTTAATAGGAGCTGCAGCTCCAGTTTTCTTCTCTTCCCTCCTTGGTTTGGAAGATTTCACGTGGTCAAAAAGGGACTTTTGGTCGGTGTTGCAGCAACTGAGTCTGCACTGATGGCAGTGAACAGTGTCAGGGAAGTCTTTTCTCTGTGACTTTTGGGGAAAAAACAAACAAAACCCTCTGTTCTTCTGCTTCCTGTGCTTGGCAAGAAGATATCTGATCAGGATGGAAGCTGGCATTCCAGGAAATGCTTGGGAAAGGGGTGTGTGCACTCCAGCTTTGCCTGGGGGGGCCACGGTGACTTCTGCAGCAACCAAAACAGCCTGGTCTGTTCTGCTGTAAAAACATCTTGTCTTTTTTGCAGGGAGAAATTTTCAAGGACTATTATTCAGTGCTTCATATCCTGAGATATTGGACAGTTTGGGAATTGTGGTGGTGTTGTGTCCCACCAGCCCAACCCCTCGGAGAAGTGGTCTGGCTGGATCCTGGATGCTTCCCCTGCCCTCCCTTCCGTGGGGAGGTGAGGTCTGGAGAGAGAGAGAGAGAGAAATCAGTGGTGGGATGAGTTCCTTTCAGCCCTCAGAGAGCTTGAATGCTGAAGTCCAAACATTTCTTGTGCCAGAGACCTGTTCCAGAGCTTGTGATCTCACTGCTGGATGAGCAGGATGGTGGATTTTCCTTGGAAGTTTTGGGGGGGTGGGTGCCTGTGCTGAGGTTGCTGCCTGGTGCTGGAGTTCCACACCCAAACAGTGGTGAGAGCACAGATGTCCCAGCATTAACATTACTGCTCTTTCCCACAGGTTTGGAAAAGTTTCCTGCTTTTCCACAAGTGGAGGAGCTCCTCTTCTACCAGCTCTTAGCTCAAGTTTTGCATTAGAGCTGTTGGTTTTTTTTTTTTTGAGGAAGCACTGACCCAAACTCAGGCTCAGTGTGTCCACCTGGCTGTAAATCTGCTCTTGCATTGCTTTTCTTGGTGGTGTGGATGGAGCAAGAATGAGAGATTTAATTTCCAGAGCCATTTGAGACGAAATGAAATTTGTACTTAGATTATTTTTTTTTTTTTTTACACCTCAGGAGGCCTTTTGAGAGAACTGAGGAGTGAAAGGAAGGGAGATTTGTCCTCTCTCAGCCCCTCAGAGTCTGGATGTCTTGGTCTGTGGGTGCTGGGCCCTGTGTCCTCCTTCCACTTGGGGCATCTGATGTCAGGCAGCAACTTCTGTTTTGCTACTGAGCGCGTTGAGATGGGGATGGAAGGGAATCTTTTTCCATAAAACACCCAGTAGAAAACAGGTGGGAACATCTCTCTCCTTCAGCATCCTCACTTGGCTGCCTGCAGAGTTTTCAGGAGCAGAAGATTTCGCAGCAGGAGGAGCTGACAGTGTTTGCTGTACATATTGCACCCCTTTCATGGAGAAGTTTGGTGAACTCAAAGCTTTCCAGAAGTTTTTTTTTTTCCCTTTTGCCACTTTTGCAGGCTTGGAATTCACTTTCCAAGGGTGTGACAGCACCCGAGACTTCTCTTCCTTGGTGGTGTTACCTTCCTGTATTCTGACATTGAAACGTGTACAACCACTTTGTGTGTTCCTGGCGTGACACCTGGGACAGGTGGGTGGAACAGCTGATTTTTTTGGGGGGGGGAATGGGGGGCATTGTTCATCCAGAACACCTGCCCAGTGGGAATGGGAGAAAAGAGTATTCCTTCTTCAGGTGGAGAAGCTCATGGAGTGACCTGTCTTCCTGTTGGGTTCTGTCAGAGGCATAAATGCTTCACATTTTAGACATCAGCAGATGCAGGATGAAGTTCCTGTGCCAGCAGCTCTTAAAATGTGCAATATTGACCTTTTTTTTTTTTTTTTTAATTATTATTATTTTTTTAATGCAGAAGCAAAGCTGCAGATGATAATTGAGAGCAGGCATCTGGAATTTTCTGGTTTGCATGGTGGCTTTTGAGTCTGCTCTAGAAAAATATATATAGCTATGTATAAATAGCAGCACTTTTTTATAATGGTTGTTTTAGGTTGGCCAATTTGACGCCCACCAAGTGTGTGGACTTTGAGAGCAACATTGCAGACTAGGATTAGAATTTTAAAAGTACTTAATGAGCACTAAAAAACCCTTGCAATTTAATTGCTTCCCTTTCCTTGTCCCCTATGGAGAAAAGCCAAGTTTATTTGTTTAAAAAGTTGTGTGTGTGCACACGTGCACTTAATTCTCTGTGAACTTTTATCACTTTGAGTGTGGGGTATGCAAGAGAACCCAGCCTGGGTTCCTGCTCTTCTGCAAGAGAACCCAGCCTGGGTTCCTGCTCTTCTCCAAGAGAACCCAGCCTGGGTTCCTGCTCTTCTCCAAGAGAACCCAGCCTGGGTTCCTGCTCTTCTCCAGGAAGCTTCCTAAGATTGCACTGCCATAGCTGGGGGAGAGCCACGTTTCCCTTTGGGAATCCCTTGTGCAGAGGAAGCTCATGTGGAAATGCAGCCTGGATGGGATGGTTTTTATCTGGGAATATCCACTGAGGTGGTGGTTGCTTTTCCTTTCCAAGGGAAATCAAAATCCACGGAAGGGTTACAATCTTAGGAGGCAGTTGGGAAAGCACATGGGAAGGGCAGGGAAGGGGAGGGGAGAGGAGCAGCTTGCTGCCTTTTCTCCATTCCAGCTTTCAGGTCACTTAAAGGGAATATTATCTTGTATATATGCTGCCTGATTAAACACACATTTACTGACAGGTATGGAACTGCCAGCTTTTTTTTTTTGGATCACATTCCTGACGGAGCACAGCGTCCTGTGACTCCTTGGGGCTCAGTGATGTGATTGCTGGTTCTCTGCTAGGTCACTTCAGGAGCACTTTGCAGCTCCTTGCAACTTGTTTTTTAATTCAGTGTAGGGCAGGTGGGGGTTGATAGAGGTTCTCTTTTCCTGGCCACGGTGGCAGTTTGCACTGTGGTGGCTTAAAAAAGTGATAATGCAGCATTACAGCAACCTTTCCTTAGCTGACAGTTGATGCTGCTGGAGCAGCCACGGGATTGTGGGATGCTTGGGAATATTTGCATCGGTTAATTGGTAGCTGGTGGTAGAATTGGACTGGACGAGCATCTTGTCTTGCTTCTGGAAATCTCTTTTCCGTGTCACTGCAGAGTTGGGGTTTTTTTTTAAAACAGCAGCTCAAGTCCAGAGCCTTGTTTCAGGACCTGAGCTGTTCAGCAGTGGTGGCTGAATGCAATTCCTATGCACTGCCTCTGGCACATTGGAGCTGTGTTTTGCAATAGGTCAGCAGGTGATACAATTCCTCGAGTTGGAGAATTCAGTGTTTTGACTTGGAGCATCCTCAGACTTCAGCATCCACGCAGTCTTTGGGGGGTGTTAGAACAGAGAGGCTTTGCCTGTTCAGTGGTTCATTTGGGATAATTCCTCCCTCTGATGCGTTTTCAGACCTCAGATTTCTCACCAATAGATTCTTCTTGTGTTTATAGTGTTCCTCCTAAGGACAGTGAAGGCTGCTTAGGTGCAAACCTCCCTTTTCCCAGCTTCCCACAACGCTGAGCTGCAGCAAGGTCAGGTTCCCTCGGGACTTCAGAGCTCTGCAGGCTGAGGTGGGGGGACAGAGCTGTCCTAGAGCAGTGATGGCTTTCTCAGGTGAGAGTTTTGATCCACTTCTGTAGCGTTTTTCCCAGTGCTGAGCTCAGAACCTGCAGTTCTGACACACTCTTGTCTCCCACGATTTATTCATTTAGCTTTCAGTTACCTTCTGCTCCTGTTTTATAGCAGTTTTGTATGTACTCCTGTTTTATGATTTAACCTCTTCCATTTTTAAGGCATATTTGTTTACAGTACATCTCAGTGTTGTATCAAGAGGCTCTCTTGGTATTGTCAGCTCTGAAAATCAACTACAACAGTAGTTACAGAACGTTGTCAAAGGGTGTGTTTTAAAACTCGATGTTTTGAGTTTTTGGGTGTCCACAACAGTTTTGTTTCATTTCTTCTTAAGTTTCTTAAGAAATAGAATGTGTATCTGTAAGAGTAGAAATAGGGGGAAAAAAAAATAGACCTTCTGGCCTCTGAGGTCTTGGGGATGGATGGTTTATTTTGTCTTAAAAAAATCACAGAGCGCGGGGTTGCAAAGAGCCCCCCTAGGATGTCACACTGGGCAGATCAGTCCAAAATCTGTGAGGATTGCAGTCATGGTGCTTAAAAGCTGTTCAGGATGTTTGGTGAGGTGTAGGATGTCTTGCCTAAACAGGGGGTTTTGTGGTTTGATTGGAATTTAGTGAAGCTGGTGGGCCTGGACAGCAGGTCTGCTCCGTGGGGAAGCCTTTGGCCGTCCATGGATGGTGGGATGTGGGACATGCTGGAGCTGCTCTGCTGGGATCAGGGGCTGTCAGGTGAAGGTTGAAGGATAAAATGCAGTGACAAGTTCTGTGCAGGTCTCCAGGGGGTTCCTGCAGGAGGCTCTGTCTTGGATCAGCCCCTGGGCACACGGAATTCCACCTGGAGCGAGTAGCACCGACTGTGGAGGTAAGAACTGGTCCTGGCCAGGGAAGAACTCTTGGAAATGGAACCAGATCTTTCTCCACAGCCTAATTTTAGTCATAAGGGTACAACAGAGGAGCTGCAAAGCCACAGGGGTGGTACATCCCTGCAAATCTGTTCAGCAGCAGCAGCTCCTTTGGAAGTTCCCTGATGGACCTGGTGCCATCTGGAGCAGAAAAGTGAAGCTTTGGGTTTAGTGTCTCCTGGATCTTGGTCTGAGGTGTGTTATTCCTGCCTTTTTACCAAGAACAAACAGAAAGAAGGAGGATCTGTTCACTGCAGAAGGGGGATTGGTTTTGGGCTGAGCCAGAACCAGGCTCTGCCAGGTAAGAAAGCTGGGCAGGGCCCGTGTTCCTTCTTGGATGTGTGTGTTAAAGGATTTCCCTTTTGGAATAGCGAGATACCTGCTTCATAAACATTATTTTTGGGGGAAAAAAACCCACCCTAAAACTGACTAGAATTGCTTTTTTGTTTACCCCTCCCAAAAAACGTAGCAGAAGGTTTTGCCTGTGGAGCTGTTCCAGCTGCCTGACGAGAAGCACACCCTGAGAGCTGAAAACTTGGAGGTTTTTTTAGATTCCTTGTGCCTGGAATAGCCCTGCATGGAGCACACGTGTGTCATGCCTGACAGGATGTGTCCAGGATGGAGTCCTGGCTTCCAAATTTGTATAAATACCCCTCAAAGCAGCCACTGCACTGCGCAGTCGCCACTTTTAAATGTGTTTTGCACACCCTGGTGAGGTTTTTTGGGGGCTTTTCCTTTTCTTTTAGGACTCAAGTCAGTCATGCCACAGCGTGGACTCGTTGAGTTGCCAAAGGGTATTTTTAAAAGCAGCTTTGACATTGTTGGATGCCACATCTCCTAAAAAAAAAAAAGGAAAAAAAAAAAGTCTTAAATGTGTCTTTGAATAGTTTTGTGTTCACGGAACAAAAGTTTGGACTCCTTTACTCGAAACACTTCTCTCCTGAGACCAGGCATTGGCAGAAGGTTTTCATCTCAAATTGGTTGTGGCAGGGGGTGGAACAGGGTAATGCTGAACCTTTTGGAGAACAGGGACCTTCATGGAGACACTGAGAGACTCAGGAGGGGAGGCTGGAGGTGATTTTGGAGCCCATTTCAGCCCTTGAGCAGTACATGCAGCAGTGCTGTACCAATAACTGGAAGCTGTTGGTTTTTCTGTTTTTTTTTTTTTTATTTTAACTTTTTAATTTTTTGTTTTTCAGTTGGGGGTTATTTTTTCATGGGTTTTTGTTTTTATTTTTTGAACACAGGAAGGCTTTGAGGGTGGCCTCTGCATGGTTCCTAAGTGTGTGCTGTGTGCTGGGGTGGGGTGGGGTTACAATACCTGGGTTTGCTCGAAGCTCCTTGAGATGTGTTGTGGTTTGTTCTTTTCTTTTCTTTCTTTTTTTTTGGTTGTTGTTTTCTTTTTTTATTTTTTTTTTTTTTTGGCTGGCATGTCTTAAATCTTCAGGCTTTGAAACTGCTTTCTAGAGTTGTGTTGACTTTTTGTTCTGCTGTTGTTCAGTTGCACAGAGTTCTCTATATATGACGTGCTAGTTTTGACGTGGATTCTCTGTGAGCAGGGTTGAGATTATTCCTTGTAGTTTAAAAAGAAACCAAGTTGTATCCTAAAAAAAACTCCCCTTTTCAGATCTTGTTTGTATCCTGTTGCAGTGTTACCAGATGGCCTTATGTACGTCACAGTGTTTTGTGATAAGTACAGTAGCACATTTAATGCTTATTTCCCCTCTGTTTTTATAGCTGAGAAGTGTATTTGTAATAACAGAGCCAAATCAATGGGAAAATTCTAGGTAAGGGTGGTGGTTGTCTCCCCTAATGGGTGTTGGGGCAGCTGGAATTAATCTGGGACTAAACCCTTAGACTGCCTTGGGAATTCTGAGGCTCTTGGCAGATGTGGATCGTGTGCCAGGGGCTTGGAAATCACAGCAGCTCCGTTGGCTCCACCACAACTGCTCCGACTTCCACGGGCTGGGAACCTGCTCTGGGGGCAGCTTTTGGGCTGGGAGAGTCAGGGGAGAGGGAAGTTGGAGTTAATTTTTAGCAACTTAAGCACCCAAAGCTGCTGGGCGGTGGGAAGGTGGGCCAGTTTTGTCCTGTTTGATTTCTGCAGCGCGGTTCTGTTCTGGGAAGTGACTTCCTGATGCCTCCAGTGGTTTCTGTTCCGTGGTTGAATTTTTCTTTTAGGCTGACCTGGGTTTTCTTTGCTGCCGAGTTTTGGGCTCCAGCAGCTCTGACAGCTCTGCTGGGAGCAGCCTCTGAGCAGGTTTCCCTGTCAGGTGACTCCCAACTCTGCCATGGATCCAGTTTTACCTTCCTGTGATTTTAACGGGGGTAAAAATGACGCTGGAAGCAGCAGAGAGAACATTTTTCAGTGGCTCTTTTCCCTGAACAGAATTGCATTTATTTTTTTTTTCCTATAAATATATATATAGTACCAAGTCTGGAGACAAAGCAAGTTATGTTGTAGTGAGTGTCTCAACTTCCTACACTGGAGACTTTTCTAGACATGATCTTTTAGAGACAACTGTAACCTCACCCCTCTGTGGTCCTTGTTACAGTTGGGTGAACCTGCCTGGGACAGAAAAGCTTCTCAGTCTAACTTTCTTTTTTAAATAATACCTTATAATAAGAGTATCTTAATGCCATTGTGTTAAAAAAAAAAAATGCTGGTATGTAATGCAAGTACATAAATAGCCAAAGTTTTCAGTAATTGTTCAGTGTTAACTAAATTTTGCTTTTATTTAACCTTCCAAGATAACATTTAGGAAGACCTTCAGCATGTTGATGTCACAAAAGTCTGATCAGCTTGATTAGAGCAGAACGTGGAGTTATTGGAACACATTTCAGGTTTGAGTACAATTTGGAGGCAAAGTTTTTTAAGATGCAAAACTTCCTTTGCACTGTAATGACACTTCAAATGCTGCTTTTACAGTGGCTCATTGGTAATTGTTATTCAAACATCGTGAAGGTCTTTCCTGAGAAATCAGGTGACTTTTCTATTGCTTCGATTTTTGTGCAAAAAAAAGTTAAAAATAAAAAAAATCAATGTATTGCAATCTTTTTTAAAAACGGGGTGGGAATAGTTAAAGAAAACTATTTTATGTAAGAACTGACAGAGGGATTTGCTTTGTATAATGCAAGCTGGCTTTAAAAAAAGCATTGTAGCAAAATTATTCAAGTCAATCATATGTTAATAGTTATGTGCAACCAGACATGCAAAACAATTGTATTTTTTTAAATAAATATTTTTAACAAAGTTTCTGCTCTTTTTGACTGGTTTGTTTGTTGTTTTTTTTTTTTCAGTAGAGGAAATAGAAAGTTACAGCTGCAGGGCAGCTTGGGCTGTGAGAAGGAGGGAGGTAAAAAATCCTTTTACAGCATCACAGGCTGGAGTGGAGACAGAGGTGGAGTTGGGGAGTTTGGTTTTTATTCCCCAGGTATTATTCTGGTGAAAATTTCCTTTAATTAGCATTTTTTTCTTTAAGCAGACCCTCTGCCTAGACCTGAGAGTGGAGATTGGAGTTGCCAAACTGGTGACAGGAGCACTGTTGCTGTGGCAGAGCAGATTTAGCCCCCTGTTCTCCAAACCTGCAGGGACACACCGAGATTATTGAAGAGCTGACAGTGCTGGTGTGGAGATCCCCTTCCAAAGAAACCCCCCCTTGCATTGTTTCTGCTCCTCTCCCCTGGGCAGGGCTGCAGAGATGCTCCCATGGTGGGAGGGGCTCAGGGAGGACACTTTGGGGTGGGGTTTTCTTTGCTGCAAATGGGGTTTGCACACACACACAGGCTTTTTTCCAGGAGAGTCACAGTGGCATCCTGTGGAGCTGGAGAAGAACTGCAGCACATCCTGCCCGGGGTGGAATCTGGTCTAGGATTGGAATAGAATCATGGAATGGTTTAGGGAAGGGACCTTAAACATCATCCAGAGCCACCCCCTGCCACAGGCAGGGACACCTTGTTTGCTCCAAGCCCCGTCCAGCCTGGCCTTGGACACTCCCAGGGATGGAGAAGCCACAACTTCTTTGGGTTATTTCCATTTTTCCAAGCATTTTTTTCCCTAAAATATCTTCACAAGCTCCCACGGATGGTCCTGTGGAAACTGGTGAGTTAAAGTGACTTTGTACCTGAAGGTGAGTGTATGAAGCAACTGCAGGAACAGGTGAATGCAGTTAAACTCTGGGTTTAGCTCATCCCTCTGCCTCACATCCCAGAATTAGAACCTATTCTAGGATTCTCTGATGAAACTAAACCCAAATTCAAGGCCAGGTTTGGAGCAGCCTGGGCTAGTGGAAGGTGTCCCTGCCTGTGGCAGGGGGGTGAAACAAGAGGTTCTTTTAAGGTCCCTTCCAACCAGACCATTCTGGGCTTCTAGAAATGCTAAAAAGAGTTTAAATTAAAACAGCTGGTAAATTCAGGCTGAGTTTAAAAACTGGTAAAGGGAGGAGCTGATGGTCTTGGCCAGAAAAGAGCTGGAGGTACCCGAGTCCAGGCACGGGAGAATTTAGCAATCAATCACCTTTAATTAAACACTGCTTTATATACACACATACATATGTACATCCACATACAGCAGTTAAAGCAAGAAGAACATGTCCAATCATTCACTGAAGAAGGAGCTGGTTGGAGCTTTTACATTCCTCTAAAGCCAGTCCTTCCCCTGGAGCTGGAGCAGGCCATGCGTGGGCTATGAGAGTACCTTACACAAGGCACCTGGATGGGAATATTGCACAGGTAAAGCAGCTGGAGACTGGCTCCCAAATACCTCTGGTGAAAGCTTCAGTTGGAAGCTGGAAATAAAACCACCCTAAAGGACACTGCCACTGCAGCAGCTGAAGTAAGTGAGTGACTTAAAGCAAAACAAACCCATCACAACTCATTCTTTAAAAAAAAAAAAACAAACAAAGAAAAAAAAAAACAAACAAAAAAGCAAATGATTGTAATAATCAAGAGGCCTGAGCATGCTGAGTAAGACACTGTCTTAGTGAAGGTGTTTGTAAGTGTGGGATATACAGGAATCAAGTGTGCAAACACAGACAGGGCTCTGCCAGTGTGGAACTGTTCCCCTTTGGGAGGGCAAATGGAGGTGACATCGACTCGAGTCCACGTTGCACAAAAATGAATTAAAATCCAGTATTGTGCTGTAAATTCAAGGGGCTCCTGTACATTACAGGCCAGAAAAATAATCTGTTCAATTCATTAACTAAGCCAGGAGACATTCAGTCACAGGTGGAGCAGAGAGAACCTCTTCCTTCCCACCCTCCATCCTGAACAGGTAAGGAAGTTCATTTACAGGAGGAACTGTTGGGAAATCCTCTCTGCTCACACCTTTCAGGTGGCACTTAAAGTCCTTCTGGTCCCAGTGCCACTGGCAGCTCGTGCCACGGTGGTTTTGGGATGTTTCCTTGATTCTCACTTACCCAATCGAATGTGCTTTTGATCGCAGAGAACTTGCATGATTCAGTCATTAAATGTTGAAATCATCCTCGAGAGTAATGCTTAATTGGGGGGGGGGATGGTTTATTGCTTGTCTAGAGCTTGGCCACTTCCTCAGCGCTGGTACTGCCCCGTGTCGTCTGGCACTGCCGCTTTGTCGGGAGAGGCATCGTCCAGCTCTGCAGAAGGGACATGAAATACCTGAAAGTGCAGTTCTGCTGAGCTTAAAGGGGGTGGGCATGAGCTCTCCCAAACAGGAATGGAGCTTTTCCATCGCCCACCACAGGAGCTTAGTTCACTGGTCATGGAAGGAAGTTCACTGGTCATGGAAGGAAGTCACTGAGGTTGGAAAATCCCTCCAAGATCCGAGTCCAACCTGTGCCCAATTCCTGCCTTGTCCCCCAGCCCAGAGCACTGAGTGCCACGTCCAGTCCTTCCCTGGACACGCTCCGGCCCCTCAATGTCCTTCTTGTCTTGAGGGGCCCAGAACTGGGCACAGCTCTCCAGGTGTGACCCCACACAGCCCCAGTCACCCCTTTCCTGCACCCTGGACATGTTTTTCCCTGTCCCACTCTGCTGGTTTTGTAGGAGGTACTTACAAAAACAAACAGCCTCTGCAGACTGAGGTGATAAGCAAGAAATCCTTTATCAGTGAGGCTTTTTTCAAGAGCCTGACAGCTGCCCTTGGATAGCAGACCCACTTGTTCCCTGGATTCCAGCCAGGAAACAGCACAGGGAAGCTGGTTCAGTCTCTCTCTCTCTCTGAGATCCACAGACCATTCCTACTTTTCCCCTCGCTTCTCCAACAGAAAAGAAAGCAAACCCCGGGTTGTGGCTGCCAAGGCTTTGTGGGCAAGTCAAAGCAGGAAAAGGGGAGAGGAAGCAGCAGAAAAATAAACATTTCCTTGCATTTTGCTGGAGTGCTGGGCCCTGGCTCTGTGGTGCTGCAGATGCTGCTCTTCCTTCCATTCCAAAAGCAGGGCTGAGGGGGCTGGTGCTTTCTTACCTGGAGAGGGCTTGGGGTACATCCTGTGGAAAAACACCAGGAAGGCGTAGAAGGTGAAGGCCAAGCATCCAAAGATCATCCCACAGACCAGGAAACTGTAGCTGCCCCGATCATGGATAATCTGCAATGGGAAGGGAAATGGGAAAGGGAGCAGACATCACCAGAGCACTCAGATACCTCAGTCAGGGGGGATAACTCGAGGGCCAGGCAGTGCTTCTTCCCCAAAACCAGGACTAAAGTTTTGACTTTAAAATTCCAGTCGTTTTTTTTGGCCTGTCTTGCCTACTCACCGAGCCCACCAGCAGCTGCAGGACCATCTCCCCAATCCCAGCTCCAGTCACCAACACGGTCGTGGCACAACCTGCAAGGAAACAGTGCAGGAACAGCTGGGACAACCAGCAGGATCAGCTTTAAACTGCTCTTCCAGGGACCTCCCCACACAAGAGTTCCAAATACTCAATGCACGTCCCCACTTAACGTTGAAAATGCCTCTGCTCACCTGCAGCAGAGCAGAAAGGGAGAAGTTTAAGCCAAAAAAAACCCACCCAACCAAATCTCCCTCTCCCTTGTCTCTGTTGGCAGAGGTGATGTTGCTTCTTGCTGGAAAGATTCTCATTTTTCTGTCTCACTGCCCCCGAGACAGAGGTTGGCAGAGCCCTCCTGGGACAGCTGGCCAGGCTCCGGGCTTTGCAGTTCACTGATAATCTGAGGATGTTTTCAAAACTTATCTCCCTGTAAAACCCCTAAAGCAGCACTCGTGTGAGCCTGAGATCCCTAAAGCTGCAGGGAAGCAGGAACCAGGCTGGATCCCTGCCTGGGGAAGTTATTAGCCAGCCAAGCAGGGCTTGTTACAGTCTGGGTTTGTGACTCCGAGCTTGAACAAACAATTCCAAAGCAGCTCTTGCTCCCAGGCCTCCTCCTGGGCACCCCCGGGGAGGGAAGGAGCTGCTTGGGGTGATGGTATCTGGACACCCAGAGGTGTTCCCAAATCCCTGCTCACCTTGGTACTGCAGGATGTCCTCGGTGTAGGCCAACATGCTGGGGAAGGTGCTGCTCAGGAACAGCCCCAGGGATGCCGTGCCCACGAACAGGAAGACGACGCTGGAGGAGAAAATCAGCAGCAGGAGGAAGGTTATGAGGACCCCAACCTGCGAAAAACACACGTGGAGTGAGAGAAATGCTGAGCTGCAACAGGTTCTGGGTTTTATTTCTGATAGGGAAAATAGCCTGGAAAAGAAAATACGCTGAGAAAAGACCAGAAGTCACTGCACAAATAAAATCCAGCTAGCTTTAAAGAATTTGGTAATTTTTTTTATAGCAGGAATTTATAATATAACTCAGTTTTATGTCTCAACTTCGTTATGTAGAAACGTAAGATTGTACCTGAAAAAATGCTTATTGATATTTAATATTTTAAATAATTGGTGTAATAATAATAATTATTCGTGGCTAGGCTTTGTGACTGAAGATTTGGGAAATAATAATTAATAAAAGGTGTGTAAATATCGATACATAACGTTGAATAAAATAATAATTAATACAGTAGTACTGCTCCTTCCATGATATTTACCTATTTCAATCGCTAATAATTCTTTAACCTGAGTAAGATTTAACTGCTGAAGGAGACTTAACTCACTCTCAAAGAATTAACTCTCAGGGCAGAGTCAGCAGAGGGAGCTCTGAGATTCCAGCTCGTACTGAATTAATTGTCTCAGCTCTGATTGGGGCTCATTTGCATGAGCTCAAGGGAGATTTGGGCTCCGAAGAAGC